CGGCCCCAGGAGCATGATCACACAAGCACTTCTACTCACAGTAAAGAGCTTCTCCCTACCTCACTATCACCAAGCCAGCCCTACAGTGCTTGCACAAACATAAAAAGAGGTTGTACACATTTTCTTCCCCATCTGTGGGAAAGATGATTACAGCACCTGCACGCATGCAAAACGATGCATTATCTCCTGCAGTATAGCCCTGTTTTGATTAAGTGCTTTGACTTTTTTTTGGTGATGTACCTTTTGATATAACCATCAAATAACACACCTTGTTTCCTTTGTATTTAGATATATTTTCCCTTGGTTGGTAGCATCCCACAGCCATACAATGAGGCCCACAACACCAAGTGATCTTTCTAAAAAGAAAGGAGCTTGGAATCTTTGTACTGACTAAATCTAGTGCATTAATTCACCTTATGTCCTGCACATTGGTTGGCTTTCTGGACTCATTTCTCAATATTGTTGTCCTAAGATCATGCCCTAAAGCTTTAATTTGTCTGCCAGAAATGAAAGCAAAAGGGCTGGTTTCTAGTCCTGATTCTGTAATCTGTATAAAGCAAAATTCTTATAAGCTGATGCTAATGTACACCCATACTTGGGTCAAACTCTCAACATCAGTACAGCTATGCTTCACATCACAAAGAAAACCAATGGTGACTACCCAAATGATAAAACATCCATTTAAGTCCTATCATTAATTTACTGGTCCTTCTGAGCAACGTAATTACCCAACATCAAACACCGTTTTGCTTTCTTTGAGAACTGTGTGGGGATAGAAGTCACCAAAAATAAAGTAAATCAGGGATTTAAGGCACTTAACACAAACAAAATAACATCTACTTTCTGACCGATCAGTTATTTCTTAGTTCTCTTAGTATACTTGGAAAGCACAAAATACCCCTGACCTGGCCTTTGCCTCTGCCTGGTGCAGCAGACCACTGAAACATGGCATGCTTTGACAGCTCCCTGTAAAGTGCAGCCTTTAACCTTTAAAGTGTTCTTTCTTATGTCTATTCTTGACCTCACACAGTAAACCAGAACTAAGTCAATCTTTTTCCCCTTCAAAAGTATTGCATAGAATTAAATAGAACTGTTATTGTCCATCCACTACCAAAAAAAAGTGATTAATTCCTCAGGCAGTTGTTCATTCGTAGCTTCTGTAATAATTTAGGAGAGCTTGAGTACAAAAGCCACAAATGGGAACAATTTAACTGAGTAACAGATGAGACACAAAGCTAGAGAGGTTACTTTGCTCATTCTAAACAAAAAACAACCTCATGAAGAACTGAAAATGCATATTGACTGTTTGAGGGCTGTTCAAAGTCCGCAAGTTCTACATTTCTTCTCATTATTTTCAAAACAGAAGGAATAAAATGTTCATTTCTGTTCACACTGCTCATCCAGAACTATGCTCATAGAAAGTAAATGCCAATCTCAGAAGCTGTAAGAGATGCCAAAAGGCCACAGAGATTAAAACTACAAAACGAGTTACCTGAGTTTCTCAAAATTCTAGCTTTCATTTAAAAAAAAAAATAAATAAGAAATCAAAAAACCCCACTATACTCTCTCAGAATGTTTGGGGTTTTTTTCTTCCATCCCTTGTATTCCAATGGTTTGCTACACAATAGAGTTGTTTAAAAGTTTTCAGTCTCAAGGGAAAAATCAACATTTTAAAACAATCCCTCACTTTTACTGCTCAAACCATTTTGGCTCTCTTTCTCCAAACCATTTAGTTAAATTATCACATTTTAGACAGGGTGAAGAACATCATCTTGTTTCTGAGCCTATGGAAGGATGACCTGAAAGTAATTGCAACAGAAGCAATGGATTTTGCTACCTCTGCTGCTATCCATTGCTCTAGCACCTGATCCTGATGCTAACACTGATGCCAATGCCATGTCAGTGAACGATGGTGCTGCTACAACTCACAAATGCCAGTCTGTTGCTCAAAGCTGTGCCTTTCCATAAGACCCACTCTGTGATTGACGAGCCCCGGCTGCTTTGCCACCCACCCTCCTTTCTGCCCAGCACACTCATCCAGAGTCGAGCTCTCCTGCCTGAAGCAATCAGACAAACAAAAAAAATCCAGGGAAAAGCGCAGCAAGGCAAACCTTTGAGGAGCAGAACGGGCTGCGCCAGAGCCCAGCTTGTTGTTTGATTTCCATTTGTGTCTCTCTGAACAAGAGAAAGCCACTGCATTCTCAGCCACCAGGTGCAGTCCTTTGAAATGCACCTTTTGCCCCACAAAGAGAAATGGGAAGGAGAAAATAGACAGTTCAGGAAAAAGTGTTGTGCCTCCTAGGGGAAAGGGAAGAGGGATACTTTTCAAATCAGAAATGCTTTTATAATTAATTTAGGAGTTTTTTTTTTCCTTAGCCCCTTCCTCTTTCAGAAGTAGTTAGTTGCTATTTTCACCACCTCCTAATTACTTAGTACTGGCTTGTGGGCGGATTCTGCTTCACACAGCATCCCACACAGGTTGTCATTTTGTCAAGAATTCCTTCATTAACAAGCTGTCAATACCCTGCCAACAGCCACCATTTGGTTTGCTAAGGGAACGGGGGCTCTGGAGTGAAGAGTTGGCTCTGTACTCTTTCCTCTTTCTTTCCTTTTTTTTTTAAATAAATAAATAAGGCACGAGGCAGATGTCTGCCAGTCTGTTCCTTTGTGACACATTGCAGCCTTTTCCTTCTTTTTTCTTTCTTTCTTTTAACTTGCTGAAAGAGCAAGGCAGGAGAGGAAGGAGAAGACAATGCAAGCAAACTGTGCTTTGGAGCTCAAACCCCCTCCTCCCACACACTGCAACCCCCTCCCCACACCCTCCAGCATGGCCAGCATCAGCCTGTGCAGCCAGGGAGAGCTCCGGAGCCACGGGTCTGCCTGCAGCCTTTAAAGCAATCATCCTAATGAAATAGGAAGAGAGCTTGCCGTCACTGAGGTACTTCCAGAGGAGTTTGTCCTTTCCCACTAATTAACTGGATTACCGCAGATGCTGACAGGCTTTGCCAGGTCCTCCCATTGCTACTCTGTTGAGATGCTGATGATTAACGACAGCTTTGTGCCTCTCCCCTCTAGAAAGCCATACATATTTGCACAGTCATCTTTTTTTTTTTTCCTCCTGTTAGCTCGCAAGATCAAATCCCAGCTTGGTTTCACTGATTAGATTTTGATAGTGCTGTGCCTACCAGGTAGGATTTCAAGGTTAGCACAGATGCTGAGAGAATTGGGGAATCTGTCCATCGTCAGGGGCATTTCGGAGGACCTGCTGCTTCAGCTGGGCCTCAGCTGTGTCAGGAAGGAATTCAGCTGGGTTGGCATGGTGACTGCAAGGGAGAAGGCAGACAGGGAGCATAGAGGGACAGAAATCCACACTGCATCCAGATAGAACAAAAATACAGGATGGTTCACATTGACAGGGGTTGAAGTGGTACCTTGACTTGCTTTTGGTCCTTGCACACCAGTGAGGCAAACATTCTTGTCTGGGGAGGCTCAGAGGAGCCCAGGGGTTTCCAAGAAACAGTTTTGCTCCCCTTTTTGTTTCTCTTTGATCACCATCACTCCAATGTCGGGCAGACCCTCCTTTCAGCTGGAAAATCAAGTATGCAAGGGCCATACCCAAACACGCAGCTCCAATAATCCCTCGTCAACATTTTTATGTAAATATAGGCACACACACAAAGATTTACTGGTGAAGACAGCTACAGGTTCAGGTTAATAGTAAAATTGGGTTCCAATATTAATTTTGAAGAACAAAGATATTTTTGCTCTTGTAATTCTCAAATATAGAGAAAAAGAATATCTGCTATGTAATTACAAGCAGACAGGGCTACCTAGTTTTTGCCCTAGCTCACATACGTTGTTGCACAAGAGTGGCTACCTGAGTGATGAAGGTAGCAGCAAAGACCACTTGAGATTCCAGTATGAAAAGTAGGTAGCAGCTATGTCAGATGCAGCTCTGGAGTTGCTTTAGAACATTCAAGTGCAATTTAAACACTTCTGTCTGGATGGAAGAACCTCTTCCATTATCAGCTGCAAATACATCCCAAAGCTAATTGCCATGGAGCCTACATGAGCGAAGTCAGGGAATAAGCAGCAATTAGAAAAAATGGGCCAGATGAAGTGTGTGCCAGTCATTCTCTCTGAATATATGTTCTCTTATCCTTTCATCCCATCTTCTTGTCTTTATTTTATTTAAAGCTTTTGCTGTTATCTCATATAACACCAGAAGTACAACAGGATAAGAGGAACCAGAGAGAAGCTTTGGTTGCCAAAGTATGTGTGCATGCACTTTGCAAGACACTGCTGCCACCACCACCTGTTCACCCTCAAGCCAGGCATTTCAGATGCCACAACACCAGCCAGAGGCATCCACATGAGGACTGCTCAGAGGTTCCTCCACGCAGGTGTTGCAGGTCCTCCTAGCTCTGCAAACCTGCCAGAAGTATTCACAGAGTGTTCCTGCAGATTAAAACCCAGCTTACTCATTTTCCCTGGAAGCAATTTTTGTCCAACATCAGAGTAATTAAGATAGCACCTGTCACAACCTGGTCTAAAGGGCTCTTCTCCTTGTCCCTCACTGTAGTCCACCTAAAAGTTGGTTACTAATTCTGAAAGCAGACATTTATATAACATATCTGTGGCCAAAGAAGCCAAAGGGAAATTGAGAGGTTTTTACATTCCCAGCATACAAAGGTTTGTCTGTTGATATTTACCTGTCTCCGCTCTTCAAGGAGAACATAGAAGAATGTATTTATTTAGGTAACACTTAGAACCAAGCAATGCATTTACAATGCCCCAAGCAGCATACTGTTAGCAGAACATCTCTAGAAGACTTGTTTACACACTAGTGTGAGAGCTAAAGCAGTAGGAATCAGAATGCGACCCACAATCTAGCATGACCCCTTGTTACAGCTGATGTTACAAAAACTCTGCAAAAATTACCATGGTGAAAAAGGGGGAAAAAAAAAATATACAAAAACAAGCAGGAAAGGAATGCTCACCTGTATCCAAAGATCTCGGTTTGCAGGAAAGATTCCACAAAAGAGGGATCTCCAACAACAGACCCTTCCCCACTGGCAGTCAGCTCTTAAATGGGGTCTAGGAGAGGTGCAGCCAGGCTCCACCCTTCGGTCACACAGCTGAATTGCCTTCACCTGTGCTCCCATGGCTGACTCAGTGCTTGCCTCAGGTGAGCAATCAGTGCTTCAGGCTGTGACTCAACAGTTTCTATACACCCCTTATATACAAAATTTTTCATACATTAAATGAAAAAACAAAAACAAACAAACAAACAAAAAAACCATCATAGAATTGCCTGGGTTGAAAAGGACCACAATGACCATCCAGTTCCAACCTCCTGCTGTGTGCAGGGTCACCAACCACCAGACCAGGCTGCCCTTTGAATGCCTCCAAGGATGGGGCATCCACAGCCTCCCTGAGGCAACCTGTTCCAGTGCCTCACCAGAAGAAGAAAACTGAACAGAATTTTCTAACTCCTATAGTCCACTATGGACACAATAGTACTTGGGGATCTGACCATGCAGTTTCCATACACTTTAATGGGTCATAGACAGCCAAACTCCTTATGTAGCACTTCAATAATGTCAGAGAACTAGCCTAGGGTCCTCCTCTCTTTACCTTTAAAATAATCTTTATTTTAAAGCTTTTACTAACTAAACCATCAAAAGCAGAGGTTGTGGAGCTCTCTGTGCTGCAAAACTACCATAAACCTAATCTGATCCTGCAGCAACAGTGCCCATTAGCAATTGACAACTGAACCATAGACAGGTTTGATTCCGGACTTGTCTTTAGTTCAGCTTGAGCTGGGCATAACACGAGTGAAATTCAGCAATATAGAGTTTACTTACTCCCTGTTGCCCAGAAGGGAGCACAAAATGGCTGATCATTTTCTTCTTTTGCAGCTACTCAAGGCTACCCAGAACCAAACCCCCTGGTTTGCTAATTAGAGTGTTTGCCATGGCTAAAATATTTTCAGAAAGAGTCAAGAGTAAACTCTTCTTCTGAGGCGAATCTGCCCCCATGAGCTTTAATAAAGCAATGCCAGTTTACAGCAATTGTATATGTGGGCTCAAGAGTCTTATTTCATTCATATTTGTATTTGTAGAACATCTGTCTAAATAGCAAAACAATGAATTCATCATAGCAGACTTAGCTCGGGACAAAGAAACTGAATTTTCTTTGAAGTTTAAACATCTACTGCATTTAAAATGCTTTTTAAATTAATGATATATATGAACTGTTTCAAGAGAGTTAGCCTAGTTTCTGGGAAAAGCAGTTAAACAATGACTCTGATGAGATTTGAAGCCTACGTAATTAAGTTTTGCATACATGAGCATAGAGTTAATTTTTTATGCATCGTAATGTTTCTGTAGAGTGGTTCACTTTTCATTGGCTAGCTGTGATGTTTTATCCGCGCTCCTTTCTTTTATTGTTCACAATAAAAAAAATATGGCGTCTATGAAAATCAGTTCAGCCAAGGCCCTGCCAGGGCACCACTTCTGAAGTCGTTTCATGATTTAACAGAGAAATCTGGCATAAAGTACTTGGTTAAGTATGACTCATGGAAGAAGTAAAGATCTGGTCTCTCGTCTTGCTGCTTCTTTTTTAGCAGAATTTTCATACTAGCATCATCTTATTGAGATCAATAGTACTACTCCCCACCTGATGCCCAGCTTCTGATTCTGCCCATCCTCCTAATTGCATTTGCAGTCCCACCAGTGAAAGTTAGAAGCTTTGTGCTTGGAGAAGAGAGTCCTCTCTCCTATCAGGTTAGGTCCAGATGGGAGATGTCTTTGATCCTGGTGTGAGCACCAAGACTGCCCTTCCTGACACCCCAGCTGTTGCATGACACAGCTCCTTTCCCATCCCCATGGCTGGCTCCCTTCCTTCCCTGGCAAGAAAGCAGTGAGACATTTTGTGCCTGAAGTCAGAACATGGGTGATTCCACATGGCTGTGTTGGTCTTGTTTAGACCAAAATGCACATGAACAGTTATATACGGTCCATGAGCACATGCAAGGAGCCACTAATTGGCACTGCATCTACAGGACTGAGCAGGAGCCACTTTGTTACAGCCCTACAAACAAAACACCACAAAGACATTGTTGCCTTCGTACCAGTTGCTCTGCTCTGCAAACCTTCTCCATTTACACACCAGCACTTGCTAGTACAGGCACATCCCTGGTCAAAGAGCATCTCCAGACTCCAGAAAACAAATCTATTCCCATGCGTCTCAAGTCAGATATAGCCTGAGTCTCTCTGCAAACATTTGCCCTGTTACCCTCTTTCTAGCTTCCTGATATGGATGGGAAGAGCCAATTCAGGTATCGTTTGCTTCATTCCAAGGAAAAAGAAAAACTTCAGGGCCCAATAATAAAATTACAGACAAAAACTGCAGTGGTTTTGGTCAGTTTGCAGCTTCATCTCTGGCAGTCTCAAGGTTTGCTATGCTGCTTGCTGTTATGTAGAAACACAGAAAGATCCATGATGTGTATTTGAAGCCAAGACTGTAAACATTAAGTCAATATTCCTAATGATAAAAGCACATTCTAGAGGCTGTTACAACCCAGGCACGCCAACCACCACCAACTGCAGGATGCTGCTGTCTTTGCCATGCAGTCAGCACTAGCAGTGCATGTAGGTTTGCATCAAAGCAAACATGGGCTGAAGGAAGTCATGATGATAGCAATTCTCAGGTGTAATTATGCATATCACAGTTCTTAAAAAGCACTTTTTCAAAGGATCAACTCTGGGTAAAACTACTGCTTTTAACCTAAATATTACTGCCAGTACATTTCATCACGAGCTCTTAGAGCCCACAGTGTCTAACGTACTTCAATCAGTACTCTTAAACGTAATCCACTGGACAGAGGAAAGTATTCGTGCACCCTGTAGTTTCATAAAGACACCTTGAAAAGTTTTTCATTTACTATTAACAAACATTTTCCTCCATTAGTGGCTTTAATATTCAGCTGAAATTCTTGGATACAAGCCAGATCCTCCACTACATATATCCCCAAAGGGATGCAGGCACCAACATAGGTGTTGGGATCAGATAATCAAAATACACAGGGACTAAAAGGCCATAAGAATCTCAGAGAGGTATTTGAGATCAGTTTCAGCCTGGGGACATTGGTCTTCCTCATTTCCCAGTGGAGGACAGAGGTATAGGCTTCCTTGGGGGCAGCGCAGGTCAGACACATCTCCACATCTCCTCAGTTGCCCAAAGAGGTTTCAGTATTGGCAGCACTATCATGCCTGAGTAGCTTGAGGACAATTTTAAGTGCATGTATTCCTAAAAAAAATACAGATGGGCACGTTGGAAGACTGTTAGATGTCTCTGTTCTCAGTGGTTTCAGCCACCTCAGTCTGCACATGCACCAGGCGTTTCTAATCAGCCTTTTCAGGGCAGACTGTTTATGGTATGGCCTGGAAGAAGAAATGCCTTGGACTCCCAGCCAGCTATAAGGCTTCTTAACTTCAAGCAATTTGAAGAGAAGTAAGAGCCTACTTCAGTTATGAATTAGAGGCTTAAGTAACCAGCTTTGCACTTCCAGAAGAAATCTCCCTAATGACAAATCTGTCTTTACTCACATAAATAGCTCCTTTAAATACTGCTCCTCATCCCAACAAGAGCCTACAGCACCAGCAAGCATGTGTGTTACTTTGACATCAGTATGTAGAAAGCATAATCTACAGAGTGAATCTGCACAGAGTCAATGCTTTTCAGTCTGCCTGCTTTAAACACAAATTGTTGCTGACTTCCTTCGACTTTTGGTACTGATATTTCTGCTAGCACCTATTTTAATAGTTCTGGGAAATCCAAATACTGAAAATCTGGTACTCAAGCAGTGCTTCAGCAGCTGAACAGAGGGGACAAGGCCTGAGAGTTTAGAACTAACAGAATGTAAGAAGGGAAAGGGAGGTGGGAATTCTTAAAAAATGAGCACACTTTTCTCCTTTCTTCCCTTCACTTATACGTTGTATACAACCACAGAGATCCTAAAGCCTAGCCCTGGGATGTCTCCTTCTCTCTTCAATCCAGCTGTAACAGCTCGGTCCCATTCCTGGACTGGGTCTCCCTGTGAACATGCTGCCCACTGAGCTGCCCGGCCAGCTGCAGCACCCCTCCCAGCACTGCTGAATGATGTGGGATTTGGCATAGGGTAACAGGGTGGGACCAAACAGACCTTTTTTTAAACAGAATTTAGTATCAAGAGGTACAGTCAGACACATGCAAGGAAGGAGAAAAGCAGATCGCAGAATGGCAGTGACCCACCCTGAGCAGGCTGTGCTGACACAGGAGGAGCAGGAGTGCATCCCATGGGAAATCCAGCCCTGGCTGGGTCACAGCCGAGCTCACAGCTTTCTGTGCAACATGCTGGCAGAAGCTGCACTGTCGATGTGCAGCTTCTTGAATCCAGGGCAGCTTGGCTTACCGCGGACACTCAGCACACATCACTGAGGTGTCTGAGCATAGCGTGCAGGGTGCCCAAATGGACACTTCCACTTCTTGGCCTTTGAATTCCCAAACTTCGTACTGGAAACTCAATCGTGACCATGGCACTGCAGGCTGCTCTGGATTCAGCTGCTCCGTGCTGAGCCAAAGTCTGTCCCCACAAGCTGACACCTCAGAGCTTTCAGCTCAAGGTTAGCTTTTCTATCACGGTGAAAACATTTCCCCAGCATTAGCAAATAGATTTCATCCCCTCAGTCGCCAAATTGACTGTGCCTTCCTGTTTAGATACCATTATTGCAGATTAATTATTTAATCCAATCTGACTGTCATGCCCACCGACTGTTTACCAGCAACGTCTGCTTTCCTTTCCCTATTTAGACAGTACAGCACTACCCAAGAAACCGCATTGTGCAGATACGTGGCAATGCATGATTTTGAAACAGAACAGATTCTCTGCAGCCCCTTACTGAATAACATCAACACAATGACAGCACTGCTGCCTCGTTTGTCCACTTTCTTATCCCTTGCACTGCTGGGGGACACAAACTAGTAGTTAGCTAACATCAGCAAAAAAT